TCCCTATGGAGTTTTTAAATTTTTTTAAAAATATGTTTTAAGTTTGTGTAAAAATACACAATTTCCTTTTTCTTCATCTGGCCGAGAATCACAGCGAATCTATAATACTAAAATAAGATTTAATTGGTGGAAAACACTCTGATTTGCTTTCTCTAACCTTAAAGAAGAGCAACAATAGAGATGTTATTATAATCCCTAAAAATTCCTAAACTTGCTAACCTATTGACCCTAATAGTTACTTGCTATTTATTCTTCTACTGCCCTCTCCTTAATGAGAATTTTCACAAAGCACGTAAACTATGTCCGTACCATTTGCCATTTAAAAGCTTACGTCTTTATAATAATTTCCAAAATTATTCTTCATATAAATAACCCATGATCTTTTTTTAAGTTTGGGAAGCTTAAGTAATCTTCTTAAAAAAAGACCTACCAAATAGTTTTGCAAGACCCCCAGGCTTGCTTGTTATTAACTGCTGGCATCATTTCTTCCAGGCCTTGGGAAATTCTTGGGCTCTGAGCTGATAGTGCTTTGTGTTGGGAAAGTATCCTTGCATACTTCACAAGAAGCTTGTTAATCACACTGCCTAAAAAACGAAGATCTCAAATGATCCTTTTAGAAACAAGATGTTTGTAAATCAAGAAATGGCATTTTTTCTTAGTATCCCCCTGAGTCTATTTTCTGGCTCCTTCCATACTGAGGAAGAAATGTATAACTTTCTAAAACTACAAAACTCCTCAGCAGTTGCCTCTCAAAAGAATGGAGCACAATAAGCAACAAAGTCTATCTAAGCAGAAAATATTATAGACAAGCTCATTTCTTCAAAGGGCAACCCTAACATTCAACTAGAAAGCTTTCTTTTCATTGTGATTATTTTTACCTTCTGTGTTAAACATGGTCAGTCAGGTATGGCACTTATAGGAGACAGAAAAAAAGAAAACTTAAACAGATCAAAGAGAAGAATCTATAAAACCAAAGGCCTTAAAACAACTGCAACCACGCCAAAATGGTTTCCTTGCTTTATTAGTTCAATGGTCATTTTTCTAATAATGTTATCAATTATTTTACAGGTTCCAGTATCTGGTGTGACCTAAAGTTGAATGATGTTTTTTTATCAATTACAGTAAGTAGTAAGCAAAATATTCCAGCAGGTTAGCTGTCAGCCTATTTATTTCTATGAAAAGTGCAACTTATGAAAAGAAAGTTCTTTTTATGAAAGGTAAGCCTGGGTCCAAAAATAAAATACAGCTGGTAAGGCAGCTCAAAACACCACTTACTGATGTCTGATATTGGATTAGAAGTTAAACATGGTGATTAAAAAAATCAAGAGCAGGAGCTAGAAAAAAGAATATATCCTTTACACAAAGAATCTTGTTTGGACACTGAGACAATAGCCTAAGTGCTTTTGTTTCAGTACACAGGCATATTATTGCTATTAGAGAAACATAAAGGGTCTATAATATTGCTCTGCATGTAAAGAAGGTAAAGGATAAAAGAAATCATCCAAATACAACTTGTCTCTTATAAAGGAAGTAATTCAATTAACACCACTTTAAGGCTCTTAGGCTTCCTTTTATCTTTCTAGAACTTCAACCCTACTCATGAATGTCTTTCATCTTATTTGCTTTATTTTGACTGATGGCATTGGCGAGCTTTCTGAATAACAAGCAGTGACATTCTATCCACTCTACTTACTGATAGAGAAAAAGTATGCTTCCTTTTACTAGAGAATTTGACATAGAATGACCTAAACAAATACAAATAAGCATGTATGATGACTAGTTACTGGGCAGAGAGCCTGGCCAGCCCCTTAAATCTTTGAGGGCAAGATGCTGTTAAAGTCCTTGTATCTGACTTTCTGTGAACTTCAAATTCTTCTTCTGTCATGAAGAGAGCTATGTGACAGCTGGTAGGCTGTCTACTTAGAACGTTGTCTGTTGTCCCACTGCAGGGAGGTCCAACCTAAAGGTCACTGGGTGTCTAAGAGAGACTGAGCTTCCTTTTGAAGATTAGAATATTTGAGACCTCCTAGGGCCTGGCCATTCTGGGTGTGCTCTCCACACCACTGAACATTCCTTGATGGGGAAGCACCAGGCCCTTTTAGCATCTTTATTTAGCTCATTATCCACATATTATTTATTACAATGTGCTTTGGAACATCCATGTCCAAAATGATGCCAAGTTCGATTACTTTAGAGTCTAAAGGTTACTTTCAGACTCTCCATGAACCTAGAGCTTTACTCAATATGCAAAGATATATTTTTAATAGCAAAATACCATTACAAAGTTTCACTGAACAAAGGTATTTTAAGAAGGGGTAGATGTTCAAGCTGGTTTTAGAAAAGGCAGAGGAACCAGAGATCAAATTGCCAACATCCGCTGGATCATCAAAAAAGAAAGAGAGATCCAGAAAAACATCTATTTCTGCTTTATTGACTATGCCAAAGACTTTGACTGTGTGGATCACAATAAACTGTGGAAAATTCTGAAAGAGATGGGAATACCAGACCATCTGACCCACCTCTTGAGAAACCTATTTGCAGGTCAGGAGGCAACAATTAAAACTGGACATAGAACAACAGACTGGTTCCAAATAGGAAAAGGAGTACGTCAAGGCTGTATACTGTCACCCTGCTTATTTAACTTATATGCAGAGTACATCATGAGAAACGCTGGGCTGGAAGAAGCACAAGCTGGAATCAAGACTGCCGGGAGAAATGTCAATAACCTCAGATATGCAGATGACAACACCCTTATGGCAGAAAGTGAAGAAGAACTAGAAAGCCTCTTGATGAAAGTGAAAGAGGAGAGTGAAAAAGTTGGCTTAAAGCTCAACATTCAGAAAACTAAGATCATGGCATCTGGTCCCATCACTTCATGGCAAATCGATGGGGAAACAGTGGAAACAATGTCAGACTTTATTTTTGGGGGCTCCAAAATCACTGCAGATGGTGAGTGCAGCCATGAAATTAAAAGATGCTTGCCCCTTGGAAGGAAAGTTATGACCAACCTAAAGAGCATATTAAAAAGCAGAGACATTACCTTGCCAACAAAGGTCCATCTAGTCAAGCCTAAGGTTTTTCCAGTGGTCATGTATGGATGTGAGAGTTGGACTGTGAAGAAAGCTGAGCACCAAACAATTGATGCTTTTGAACTGTGGTGTTGAAGAAGACTCTTGAGAGTCCCTTGGGCTGCAAGGAGATCCAACAAGTCCATCCTAAAGGAGATCAGTCCTGGGTGTTCATTGGAAGGACTGATGCTGAGGCTGAAACTCCAATACTTTGGCCACCTCATGCGAAGTGTTGACTCATTGGAAAAGACCCTGATGCTGGGAGGGATTGGGGGCAGGAGGAGAAGGGGATGACAGAGGATGAGATGGCTGGATGGCATTACAGACTCAATGGACATGAGTTTGAGTAAACTCCGGGGGTTGGTGATGGACAGGGAGGCCTGGCGTGCTGTGATCATGGGGTCACAAAGAGTCAGACACAACTGAGCAACTGAACTGAACTGAGGAGACATTTGTTTATGTCAAAGATGTCATGTGGACACTTGGTCCACATCAAAAGGTCCTTGAAATTTGGTTATATCCAAAAAAGCACATACGCATATTTGGTCCATGACAAGTGATTTTGGAAAGGACAAATAACAAGGTCTTTTTGGCATGGACCAAATGTCTCCATGGATGCTTTCAACAGGACCAAATGTCTTTCAAGGTTAAAGAGAGCCATAAGATGTAAAAGGATAATTACTTTATAAAGGGTAGGATATTTTTCAGAGGAGAAAAAATAGGTAGTAAGTGATATAGACTTGATAAAATAATTATTATAACAGTCTTCACATTTACTGAGCTCTACTGTATGAATCTCTAAACTTGCCACAGATTATCGTATTTAAAATTCATGATGGCCTCTTAAGATAATCACAACCAATATCCATATTTTAAAGACGAGGCAAGGATATTTAGAGAAGTCAAGAGGCTTGCACAAAGCCCCACAACTAGGAACTGAAGTCCTCTGCTGAACCCAACCAATGAGGATTTGATGTGACATTTGAAGTGATATTGCTAGGTCTTGAACCCAAGTTTGTGATGGTACAGCAGTGGGTCAGAATTCCCCACCAGCCCTTTAAAACCAACATTATGAAAACAGGAAGACCTAAAGAAAGCTAGAGTCAGACCTCTGAAAAGGAGTACAGAAATAGTCTGAAGTTACCACAGACACAGGACAAAAAGCAGGGGAAAAAAATAGAAAAGGGTGACAGTTCTGTAACACTGCCCCGGGGTACAGCAACCGAGGTACTCAGTAAGTTGATACATCTCAGAACCATCAAGCACCACTTCAGATTAATCATTATACACCTCCACATTAACCCTTCCATATTGTTGTCTCAATTTAGATTCCAGTTAATATCATTAATATTATTATTTGCATGCAAAGACAATGCAACTATACCACTACCAGCCTTAGAAGGAGTACTTGGAACTGGTTCTTGGTAAAAGGTTTATCCTAAGCCACCTAGTCTCTTACCTGTTTGCCCTAACTAATTAGATAATTCATTATTTTTGACTTCCAAAGAGAAACATTAACTCTAACGTATTTGGGTGCATTTATACAATCAACTGGCCTCAAATTTCATATTTTATATTCCTATTAAGGAAAAACAGTTTATTTTCTATGTGCCATTAAACTAATGATTGGCTCTACTTCCATGTATGCATCATGGGAGAAACACAACACTTAGCAACGTTTGCCCCTAGGATAACCTTTCTTCGTACTAGTTAATATCAAGGACATGTGATGACTATGTCAAAGCCATTGACCTTCTCCACTTCATATTTCACAGTGACTCACCCAAAGATGCCAGAATAAGATTAGAAAATATTTATGATCCTTTTGAATATGGATAAAGAGCTCTCTTTGTTGATAGGGTTACCACAATTATTTTTTTTACCTTATGACAGTTTTTAGAAATTAGGCAGAGAGAGAGAGTAGTTACTCACGTTCTCCTTGTCAGGAATCCCTAGAAGAGGAAAGAGAGAAAGAACATGAGTTAGAAGATCAGCTTGTAAAGTGGAAATTAAATCTCTTGCTGAATCAAACCAAGTAAAAATTTGATGTTTTCAATTTGTCTTTCCATAAAAATGTACATAACGCTGCTTGGAAAAATAGCAGCACCTACCAAAATCTGTAACATAAACAAATCAATGAATCAGAGCAGGGCTATGTGCCAGACAACAAAATCTCATGCTTATTTTGCTTTTCTACCATATGCTTTACTCTCCTAGAGGTAAAAATTCATCCCTGCTTATTTTACACCATGAGAGCAACCAATTCTCTGTCTTGAGCATCAGAACACTCAGAATTTTAGAAAAACATGTCAAACTCTTAAGTTGCAATTGTTATATTTTTACAAGGCAAACCACCTCACACCATTCCAGGGATCTGAACTTGGGGTCAAGTTGCATATAAAAACTGCCATCACACAATTTTTATTTTGGGCACAGTCAACTCTTGCTACTTTCAAGTCAGATGTGAGCACAGCAATTGCTGTTTCCAGGGATATCTCAATCTTCTTAGCAAATAAGTTAATCATTCATCCATTCCCTCATTTACAAACACTGGCTCAGATGGTAAAGAATCTGCCTGCTAGGTGGGAGACCTGGGTTCGATCCCTGGGTTGGGAAGATCCCCTGCAGAAGGGAACAGCTACCCACCCCAGATCCTGGCCTGGAGAATTCCATGTACAGAGGAGCCTGGTGGGCTACAGTCCATGGGGTCACAAAGAGTCAGACAGAACTGAGCAACTAACACTCATTCACTCAATGTTTTTAATAAGGAGCCACACAGGACTTAAAATATTGGCATTAAAAGCACCAAGCGCCCATCCTAATAGACAGCAGTAAGCAGGAGAGGGAAGAAAGGAATAGATTACTGGGAAACATACCCTAATTAAACTTTGACCCCCAAACTGGGATAGTATCAGGACATTAAAGCTCTGACAGAAAACAAGGGGATGAAGAGGGTTGTTCTCTCAAGCAGAGAGTATTAACGAACATGTTTGCCATCACTTCCCAGATCTCTCAGAAAGCATAAGGGTATCCCAATGTCAGCACTCAGAAATTCATCTTGAATCCATCTAGCCATTTATCCCTCTACCCATCCAACAACCACTTGAAAAGACTAGATCTGACAGAATGAGGAGATACAGGGTTGTAACAGAAGGTTACTTTCTAGGAGGTTTAATAAGACAAATGCAGTTGTCATCATCATACTGGAGTGGATAGAAATTAGGGTATCTGTAGAGAAATAATATTGAAAAGGTGATCTCAGGCCATGCAGGAACCTGAAAGTTGGGCTAAAGCATCAGCAGTCTTAGAATTTCACTTTCTATGACTGGCAGTGGGCCATCATTAAAGGTTCGGAGCAACAGAGTGATATGAACAAGAAAAAGAAAGGAAGGGACTTTTCAAAATTAAAAGACATTTAAGATATAGAAACTGGAGACAATGACATGGGTCCTTGATTGAAGTCCAAAGACATTCCGTTGGGGAAATTTGGACTTGGATTCAGGGGGGCTCTTAATAAGGAAAATCATACTAGCAATTGGGTGTGATAATGGTGTGGTTTTTGCATGGAAAAGTCTACATTTTCAAAACCGTCCGCTGAAATGTATATATATGACTAGAAGAAGAAAATATGGCAAAATGATTGTATGAAAATACCTACCAAGTTAATAATAATCACATTCAAGGATTAAAGATTACTATTAATTAAATCAAATTGATGAAAATGCAGGTGTTAACTGTATCATCTTGTATGTTTGAAATTTGTCATAATAAAAAGTAAATTGAAAAAGTTCTGTGTAAGTCAGGTATAGGGTAAACCAAGGGTGAAATAATGAAGATTCATAGCCACTGAGCCATCTTCGCTCTCAGGTCAAGGGTGACGAGGCCCTCAGCCAGGGGGCTGAAGCAGGGAGGGAAAGGAAAGCGTATGAGCACTACAGAGGAAGGAGCAAGGGATGGACCAGTGATTAACCTCAGTAGGTGGAGGTGAGAGAAGGGAGGGCTCCAAACAGTGGAGGCCTAGCACCTGGTATGGGAGGACAGTGGTTATGATTGGAAGTAGGCTTTCAGCAGAAGGATGGTTTGTGGGAATCACCATGTGCTCCATTATCAACACTCTGAGTGCATGAGACCAGCGGGCGACCTGGTGGATAGAAAACGAGCTGTCATTTGGAAAGTTAGGCTGCCTTTTGTAAGACTCAAATGGAGGTACTGGTTTCAAGAAGGATTTGTATCAGTTGCAAGAAGGGATGCAACAATAGAGTGGAGAGTATAGAGAAAAAAAAGAAAAACAGCCAAGGCTGGACTCGAGTAGTGACTGAATTTCCAGATGAGGGACAGAAGCACCCATGAAAGAGACAAGAATATAAGTGGCCAGAGAGACATGAGAAAACCAAGGTAACTCAGTGGAGCATGGGACCCAAGGGAGAATGGAGACTGAACGTGGAAACTCTTACTCAGTCACAGAGACTGGGGAATAGTAACGACAGTCTGATTATTGGTTGGTCACTGGACAATTTAGATGGTTCGAGTTGGAAGTCAGACTTTGAGGGGTTAAAGAGTCACTGGTGTTGACAAAATAGTAGCTCACATCATTTGGGTTCTTATTATACGCCCAGTGCCCTTCTAAATGGAGATTCCCAGGTGGGGCGGTGTTAAAAATCTGCCTGCTGAAACAGGAGATGTGGGTTTGATCCCTGGGTCGGGAAGATGCCCTGGAGGAGGAAATAGCAACCCACTCCTGTATTCTTGCCGGGAAAATCTCACGGACAGAGGAGCCTGGTAGGCTACAAACCATGGGGTTGCAAAGACTTGGAAGTGACTGAGCACACATACATGCATGCATCCTTCTAAACATTCGATGCATGCGCTTCTTTCAGTCTTCAAAACAATCCTATAAGGAAACTGAGGCACAGAGACATTAAGTGCCTTGCCAGAAGCCACACACCTAGGAAACAGCATAACTGGGATTTCCAACTTGGTTACTGATCATCCCTAGATCAGCCAGAAGAGAAAAATCAAGAACAGGAGAAGAAAAGAAAGGAAAGAAAGACCTGTCCTCCAACATCCACCTCTCCAAGGACAGAAGAGAAACTGAGAAGGAGAATGCACAGGCTGCCCAGAAGCATGAAACAGAGGGGAAGGGAGCTCACTTCAGAGCCTGATCAAGCGAGAAGGGTCACCTGTAGAGAGTGATCAGTTTGAGTGAGAGAGTGGGAATTCAAGGAGGTATTCAGGAAGACATGAAGGGTGACTCTGGCTCTGAGATGCTTGCAGTGGAAGCACTGCTTGATCCATCAGTGTCAGCGTTGAAGTGCTACAGCATCAGAAACCCCAGGGCTTGCTGCCTTGTCACACATACATGGATAAGAGCCAAGTCAAGGGACCCAGAGCCTCAACAAGCAACTCCCAGGGATAGTACTGAGTGCTAAAAAGATGTTTCCAACATGCGTGACCAGATAGACTCAGGACACAAAATTACTTTAAGTCTAGTGGGCACCCATTAGGAAAGAGTATCACAGAGAAAAACTTCCTTTATGAGCAGCCAGAGACCAGTCTCCTACAAAAGGCTCAGAATTTGAAGAGAGCACGATTTAAGAAGAATAAAGAATGATTCATGCTGCTTTAACAGCATCAAAATAAGCAAGAGGTGGGGCACTCAGGTGTCTACATGTGACTGAGAAAACACTGTTCATGAATCCCATTTTTAAAAGGGTCCCCAAACCATGCTTTAAGATGAAGGTCCTTTGAGAAAGCATGCTGAAGTTCCAAGTAGCACCAGAGCAAACCTCCCTCTATCAGCTAAGGCCACTTAATTATACTGTAGGAACAATTTTTTAAAATAACCCAAGAGTGGGCTGGCGGGTCTGTTTATCCACAAAGGAGTCTGGAGACTTATTCTGTCAAGCTGGTATTGGACATATTTTTTTGGTCACATGAAAACACATACCGCATGACAAATTTTTAGATACAAGTGTTCATATTTTTCACTTACTGTCATTGTTAGAGCCCGTTTCCATAACACCATAAGGAGGAGCCAGAAGTCCTGCCATGTACTGTCGATATTTCTGAAAGACAAGATTGTAAACTCAGTGCACAGATATTTACTCACTTTGAGCACTCATGTGTTTACATGTTAAAAAGAAGAAAAGCTGGATGTCAGTAAGCATCTGAGTCTTGTATTTATAGAGTCATGAAGCGTGCTGTCTGAGCTCTGTGGCCTAAAATAAAAATGCTGTGTTCTAAAGAGGTCTTCCCGGATGAGACTGAAAGTGCCCCTGCCTGGGGAGGGGGTTCTATTGTAGCCCACTCCTTCACGTGTTTGTGATTGATTAACCAAATAGCGTGGGCTTTTACCCTCCCCTCCACCTCCTGCCTGACTTCTCACTCTCCCAAACATGGGCTCAGGTTTTTGTGGAGGAAAAAGACATTTGGTTTTTATAGATGCAGATACAAATAAAAGCGCCACCTTCCTAACAGGTGAATGGCATTCAATCTGCTGTCTTTCAAAGCGAAAAGAAATGCATCTCTAGAAAGTGTCTGATGTGAAAGAAGCTGATTCACTACCATTTGCTAGCTTCCTTTTACACTATACACCTGCCCGTTATGTGACCTCCAAAGAACCTGTGGTATGTTGTCAAATAGAATAGTTTGGCTTCATTTAGAACTATTTGGATCCTTCTGAATTTTCTCCCTCTGACTTTTGGTCCAGACGTGCTTTAAAACCTGAGGCTCAGCGATATATATTAGCACTGGGAGTTTGTGCTGTTTTGAAGGAATAAGGCTTGGTGAGCATACAGCAAGCAGATCAAGCACCCAGTGAGAGAGAAGTGACATTTACGAAGAATGGAATATGAGTGCGAGACATCCTCTCTTCTCAGGTAATAAATACAGCCTCTTCCCCTTGCAGAATGAAAGCTGGGCAATTTTATTTGTTGCATGGTGTCATGTATATTTATGGTTTATAATTATGATGGCACATAAATGTTAAACAGCATCAAAAGAATCAACACTTCATAATGTGCTTGTGGGTTACACAAACGTCAGCAGAACAGACTTCATCTGTAGCAATGGGCAGCTGGCAGCACGCAGTATTTGAGCAGCCATCTGGCCCATTTGGTAGATTTGAATGGTGTTTGTAATGTAACATTGATGAGTTCTCAAAAGAGCCTTCTTCTAGTCAAGATGTGACTAGCTTTTTTTTTTTTTTAATCCTTTTTTCTTCTCCTTCTGAGGCAACTATATTAACACCTGCATGCAGACATTCAAAATCATGATTTTTCTCTGCCTCTGAGTTAACTAATCACTCAAACATACCCATGGGACCAATCCATCACCCTGAATTCCTGACATTTCCTTTTGATAATTTCCTCGTTCCGCTTTTCCTTTTTCTTATGATACCATCTACTCTTCTTCCTCATGAGAAAGCATGGAGCAAAGCACATTTCTGGGCATAATGTTATGCTGGACTCTCAGAGAGAGCAGATGGGGGCTAGGTTATGTTCTAAGAAGGTTCTATGACCCCCCATAATCTTTTGAGGTATTCCTCTCACTGTCAGCAACTCCATTAACAGGCTCCTGAAAGAAATAATTCATGTTAAATTAAAGGAGCAATTTTGGTTTGCTTAGAAATGTTGTTTTGGATGCAGCAAATGCATTTGTCTCGGGTACCTTGAAATCAATTTCCATGAACTCCACAGAAGCACCTTCCTGACTGCTAAAAGAACAGGACTCTGCCTTCCTTCAGCTCCATAGCATGGGGTCTAGGGTTTGCTCATGGAGCGTGTTACCAGAGCTGTCACTCCTGGGAAGGGAAAACAGAGCAGCCGTCCAGGGAGCAGAGTGCGGGCTGAGTTTCAGCGTGTAGACGCGCTGAGCACCTCCTGTGTCCTCACTGTGCCCTAGACACCGGGCTCACTGCAGAGAATGGGCAGACAAGGCCCTTTGCACTTATAAAGCCTCAATCTCCTACAACAGCACAGGGAACTCTGTCTTACACATAATAGAAAATCAACATATATCTGTTGACTTTTGGAATGTGAATGGAAATTTTCATACATATATAAAATTAGAATCTCACACCACATACTTAACACACAGCCTCAATAACTGTTAACTCATGACTAATGATATTTCATCTATAATCCTATCCACTTGCCCCTTCCAGAGTTATTTTGAAGCAATTCCAGATATCATATCATTTAATCCACATATATTTCAATAGGAATCTCTAAAAGATAAGGATTCTTTTTTTCCCCCAAAACAAAACCATAACACCACTATTTCAACTAAGAAATGTAACATCTCCATAATATCCAGTCAGGTTCAAATGCCTAATTGCTTTATATATGTCATTGCTGAATTGAACTTATAATAACTTATTAGATACATAGATGAATGCAACAGAAAAGAGTGCCCCCAGATAAACCCAGGCATACATACATGGCCACTTAATTTACAACAAACGAGCCAAGAATATACAGTGGGGAAAGGACAGACTTCTCAATAAATGGTGTCGGGCAAACTGGACAGCCACTTGCAAAAGAATGAAGCTGGACCACAATCTTCCACAAAAGTTAACTCAAATGGATGGAAGTCTCAAACACAAGATGTGAAACCATAAAACTCCTGGAAGAAATCATAGGCTGTAGGCTCCTTGACGTTGGTCTTGGCAACGTTTTTTTGGATTTAACACCAAATGCAAAGGCAACCAAAGCAAAAATCAGTAAGTGGGACTACATCAAACTGAAAAGTATTTGCACGGCAAAGGAAATAATCAAAAAATGAAAAGGCAAGCTATTAAATGGCAGAAAATGTTTACAAATGATATATCTAATAAGGGGTTAATATCCAAAATACATGAATATAAAAAATGCAAACTCACAGATACAGAGACTAGACTGGTGACTGCCAGAGGTGGAGGGTAAAGCATAGGTGAAATGGGGTTTAAAACCTATTTCTGCAGAACCCTGAGCTCCTGGAGGGCCCTCAGGCAAGGCATCATGTAAGCAGAGCCTTCAGCTCCTGTGGCAACTTGAGTGTCTTCACTTTTAGCTGATACAGAATTTAGAGTTCCAAGAGTTATTTCATGTGAAAGATGACTTTTGCTTCTGTAAATTTAAAGTCTACAAACCATAAGATTAAATAATCTTTAAACTCCTAGCCAGAAAGATGCCATTCAGAGAAGGCATTTCTTCTTCTATGAAGAAATCAACAAAGACCAAATTAGGATTTGCCTATGAATTGTTAGGGGGGAGAGGAATAAATTGGGAGATTTGGGACTGACAGATACGTAGCACTGTATATAAAATAGATCACTAATAAGGACTTACTGTAGAGGATAGGAAATGCTACTCAATACTCTGTAACGGCCTATATGGGATAAGAATCTAAAAAAGAGTGGATATATGTATGCGTATAATGTATTCACTTTTCTTCACAGCATAAACTAATACAACATTGTAAATCAACTATTCTCCAAATTTAAAAAAAAGGAAAAAAAAAGGGATTCTATTCTGTTAGACATCTATGGTTGTAGACTGGCCAAATGACAAGTTACCAACAAAACCAGAAGAACTAAGAATTTAACTAAGATGCATCATAGTGCAATGCTGACCTTCTCCAAGTGAGGTGTACTGACCCCCAGTGTAGCACCCAGCAGGACAAGAGGGGATGTGACAGGGGTTAACAGAAGCTCTTCCTAGAGCTTAAATTTTATTCTATGTCAAGTAGTTGAAAGGACTACTTTTATACTTTTATATTATGGAGCAGAAAACTAAATTTGCATACATTTTAAAGATTAAAGCATGCAACTTCAAAGAAATTTGAGCTTGCTGCTGGCTGCTTCTAGCTACAAAGGGTCTAGACCCCAGGCATTATGTATTGATTTCCTCTGCATTCAGAGAACTTCAGTGGAAAAACCCAAGTGCCTCTAATGTAATGGAAAGCGTGCAGATGCTGGAATCACAGGAACGGAGTCAATTCTGATTCTGCCACATGCTACCTACATAAACTTAAGTAAGTTACCTTAGTTTCCTGGGTAAGGAACTTGGGATAACATCACCTATCTTTCAAGGCCACTGGAAGGATGAGAAATAAACTCCAAAGTGCCCAGCATATATTAAGGACTTAATAAATGATTGCTGATGATAATAAAAAAATAATAATAATGAGGAGGAGGAGAAGAAACAATCAAGAATTGATCAAACAAATCCCAATATATTTGACGATATATCCCAGGCAGAGTCTCCAGCTTTAGAGAAAAATACTCTCTAGGTGACTTCTTATTACTGAGGCTGCTGATACACACACAACATAAAGACCCACAATACATCCACTGACCTGTCTACTAAAAGGAGTTGTAAAAATAACATCTTAAAGAGTAGATGTTCTTAAGCCATTTTATAATATACTGCCTATTTTCATACCCACATGGTAAAATAGTCCAAGGAGAAAGGAAGAGCACAAGAGAGTAAACCTAGAAATAACTGAACAAAAATCAGTAAAACTCTGTAGCCATCAGAACTGGTTTTGGTTTACAAAATCTTTAAAAAAAAATTCTCTAAATTACAATTGGCCAGTTTATAAGGCAAAGTCAGGGCATGGAAGAAGTCCTCAGGCTAGAGAGGCCAGAAGCCTGTCCTAGATGGAGGGGAGAGACGTGCCACTGGCTATCTTAACGTTTTCTGAGAAAACTGAGAAAAGAAAAAGTATGACAGGAAAGTTAAAACCTGGTCCATCTCTCAGCTCCTTCACTACCCCGTCAAGGCCACTGAGCAACGCTGGCCGGAAGGCTGTCAGAGCAGCCGCCAGGCCAAGGGAGGCTGGGGGTAACCCAACTCTGCTTCAGAGTCTGGACCCCCAACCTGGCCGCTCCCTCCCGGAGCAGGGGACACGTCTCTACACAGTGGCTCCACATGGCCCAGCTGTAGCCCAGCATCCAGATACAAAAGTCGGGCGGCATGTGCTGGAGGAGGAGGCATAGTAGAGACATGTCACATTCTAAAGGCCAGTCTCAATTTGCCAAGCAGGGGACCTCCCTGGAGATCGGTGGGTAAGACTTCACCTT